AGCTCAAGGCCTTGACACCTGCTTGTGTGCATCCCTTCTGCAGGCACTGGAATTTGCTCTACTCAAACTTGTCACTTCCCTACGGTTATGGTGAGAAACCTGTCCAACCCGTAAGGCCTCTCTGAGGAAAATGATCTGGAGAAGCGTCAAGAAATTCTTCCTGTCAACAAGAGCCTGGGGCTTTTCAATCTACTAGGGCTGTTGAGTCAATTCTGTATGTGTGTGGCTCAGTTGTTTCCTGGGTTTATGCTGAAGATTTGCAGAATATCTGAGGCAGATCACACTTCTCCCATCTAACTTCCAGGTGGTCTGTTTGCAGAGTCAGGATAACAAACACAGATTGTATCATATTCAGGTTCCCTTTGACACTAGCATGTGTAGGATTTAGTTCAAACTAAGGACAAAATTATGCAAACACAATTCAAAAGAAGACACAATTTCTGGAACAGCTCCAAGTCCATTCTGGGCTCTTCCATGGTGAAGAAAACACATTGTCCAAGGTCTAGCTGGAGTATATTGAAAAGAGATGGAGGAGGCGTGTTTACAGGCAAACAGTTTGTTCCCCGGAATTTAAAAGACCAGGAGGAATGCATTTCTGGGAAGCCTGTTAAAAAATAATAATAAAAGGCCAGCTGCCAATTTAGGTGATATCTTTAACAAATCAAGCATGAGCCACTTCAGAGGAAGAAATCATTGGAGAACCCAGCTGCTCCTTGTGCTCCAGAGTTCCAGGGGTAACGTCTATAGGAAGGATCTCCAATGCTGGTGGACAGCTGTAAACAATGAAATCTTCTCCAGGAAGCTGATCACAGGATGGTAGCAGGTAGCAAACAAGAACATGCTAAAATTCTGTTTTCTGATAGCTGGTATTGGAAAGGCTGATCACATCACATGGGTGGCGGGGTGCTAGAATCTCCTTCGCACTTGGCAAAGGAGGACTGCAAGCTGGCACACGGTGTCAGAAGACCCCCCAAGGCCTTGATGCCTCTAATCAGAATAGCAAAGTGGGAACAGCACATGGACACATGTGTTGTTCCTGGCTCAAGATGCTCACGCGGCTCTTGTTTGATCTCTGGCTCCAAGGCATTGGAAGAGGTTGCGTGCAAAAGGACCTACCAATGTCCTCCATGTTCATGTCTCAGAGATGCGTGGCTGGGGGACCAAGGGTGGCTCCCATGTTACAGAGTTCAGAAATGCAGATCAAAGCCTGCATCTTTGCCTCCTCTGGTTTCTCCTCCAAATCTGTATCATTCTGTCTTTCACAAACCACAGCAGCAGATCACCTATCTTGGTGCAACGAGGAAGCCATGAAACATTTTTGCATTTTGCTGGTTTGCAGGCAGGCAAATGTGAAGTCCATTTATCCATCCAGCCTTCCCCAAGCACCACCCATGTTATCAGGAAAGCCATTTTATGGGAAATACCATGTTCATATGTACAGTTCATATGCTTCTGCATTGTCCAGTAACTAACTATTGCCTTCTGGAGTCTAGAAACTCTAAAATTACACCACTTCAAAAGCCAGCATTTCTTATCTTCAGTCTATGACTTAATGATAAAAACACCCAAGGAGAATGAGCATCCAGATATCTCCTCAAGCACTGAGATCAGAAATGACTGTACTGTGTGGAAGGCACTTGGGTCCCCTGGGTTCCTATTAACACAGTACTGTCTTTTCCTGGCAGATCAATAGTGACAGTGCAGACCTTCAAAGCACCTCCTTTTGGTTAATGCTTTACTGCCCTTCCATACACATCCATTCAATTCCCATCTGGTTTTAGCAATTGGTATCTTGGGACTCCTCAAAAAAGGAAATCATTTTAACATCTGCAAGTAAGGAATTAAAGCTTTCAAATGATATTAAATAATGTCTGTTTTGTACAGCACACAAAATCTTAATGGAATCCATCACTGAGCTTCCCCTCTGTTCATCAGCTATCATAACAGCCTGGTTTGAAAGCAGACTGTGTCTTTGCAAGGTTGGAATTTGGTTAAAACAGTCTATTTGATGAAGACACTTGATAACTACAGCGTGTCCTTCATTAGGAAAAATGGAGCCCTACTAATTTTTTAGCAGCATATGGCAGGAGTTGATGTAACTGTTGCTGCAATTAGAAATTGCTCCAATTTGAAAAGTCTCGATTTGGATTCAGGTTCTTCCCAAAAGACATAGCCTTGAGATCTATGCTTTTGGCACTACCACGTTGCTTAGAGATAGAGCTATTGATTCATACACTCCTCAAGGCTCCAAGGGTTGAGCCCTTCCCAGCATGGAAAGACTGGAACTGATGAAGCTCCTGGGACTACACCAGAATACCAGCTGTGACTTTGATTCATCATCTGGAACTTCCCCCATGTTTCTTGTGGGGAGCACTGGCAGGATGAACTTAAGTGCCACCAAGAAGCCAGTGGCAGAGACAACTGCCCTAAAGCATAGGTCTGTGGTGTACAAGGGCTGCTCTCACTTCACACACATGGAAAACGTGGAAGACCACAGCATCTGGTTTCTGTCCTGCCCGGCTCTTTTCATGTCGTAAGGGGTAAGCCTGGCAGAACTGGAAGATGCTGTTCATCCCATGTCCTTCCCACCATAGCTGATCCTGCATTGGAAAGTGAGAGCACAGGAGCTCAGCTGAATGCATTTCCACATGGTCTTTCCTACTGATCCCTGCTAAAACAAAGCACTGCGAGAAGGGAGGAGCTGTGACAAGCATAATCCAGCTCACCACTCTTCCAGGAGGGGTGATATTTCTGTTCAGACGTGTCCTTCAAGGCCTGAGGAGCTGAGGTGCCCCCCTGAATGAGGAGTTCATTCACCAGTAAATACCTTTGGCTGTGTGTCTCCATGGAGAGGTCTCTGGCACACGCAGGGAGGAAACAGTCAGCTCTGGGCTTCTCCAGGCTGGGCACAGTGATGTCTGGATCCCCAGGTAAGCTCAGAAGCTGACAGCATCTCTTCAGCCAATGCACACCCAGGGTACCACCTCATCCTCCCTCCATGGGAGCCCTGGGGCAGGTACAGGTGTGCTTTGGGTACCTACATCTCCAGCACTGGCAATCAGACCACACTTCTCGTTAGTACCCATTAGGCTTGGAGGGTGAGCTGTGAGATGCTGCTGGGATTGTTAGCTGTTATATGTTTGAACAAGAGGTGAAAAGGTCTCACATCCCATTCCACATCCCTCAGATTATGCAGCCCACTTTAACCTCTCCAAAAAATTTCATTTTAAGGATAATTTAATATGTCTCCCTGGGGTTTTTGTAGGTTTTAATATTTGAAGGGGCGAAATAAACAACCCACAGCCTGCCACAAGGCATCACAGAGTGGTGAACAGCTGTGTGCTAAAGCCGCTCCTGGGCCCAGGAGGTGCAGACAGGAGAGGTAAGAGGCAGGTCTCAGCAAGGCACCCCCTCCGGTCACAGAGGAGGAGGTGGCTGTGCACTGGGGAAAGCCCCCTGCCCAGAGGGGAGGACATGTCAGTGGTGGATGTGGGGCTGTGACCTCGCTTAGGGAGAGGAAAAGGGACCCAACCTTTCCTGAAGCTGCAGAGGAAAAAGGGAAGAAAGGGAAAGGAAAGAGCCAGCACAAATGTATTCTTAGAGGAAGAGTCAGGAAAAGCGAACAGTGGCACTCACACAAAAAAGAAAATATGAACTGGCCTCCCCCATCCCTCTGGCCTCCCTTTCTGAACCTGCACAGCTCAAACTGCAATTGCCCGGAGAATTTCAGAGCTACCCCTCCTCCTGCAGTTGCACAGAGGTCTTTTCTCCCCCAGTGAAGTAATTTCATAATGACACAAGAACTACACTCACTTACTTGCAAGACAGCTGATTAATCCCCTCGATGTAGTAGCATACCCCACCATTGACACAATAGGACTTGGCTGTTTCGTTGCATTTTCTTGCATGCCCAGACCAGGAGGAGAGAGTTGTGGTTACTGCAAGGAAAGAAAAAACCACACACAAAAAGGATATATTGTTACTTCTTTTGTTGGGCAATTCTGTTTTCTTAGATGATTTTCAGCTAGTTCATTTGCCAGAGTAAAAACCCTAGAGCTACAAACCTCAGCCCAGACCCACCTTCACCTCTCCAGGTCCTGGGGCTGATGCTTAACCTTTCCTTTCCCAGCAAAAGTGGCCAAGTGAGTGAGGAGCTGAGGACATGCCCTCCCCTAAGCAGCCAGCATGTCAGGACAAGACCAGACTTTTGGCAAGCTGCTGGTAAAAGTGCCCCTTTCTCACCTCTCCTTGCCCTCCCCTAACACGTGCCTGCACCCCTGCACTGGTAGGCAGGAGGGAGGTCAGGAAGAAGATGCGCTGCAGAGCTGAAGAGTCACGGGGGCATGCTGCTGGGACCAATATCCAGAGGTACTGCAGGGAACGTTTCATTGCTCCACATTTCCGGGAGGAAATAAGTTTTCAGAGCCAGAAGCAAGTGCCCTCATCATCCCCAGAACAGGTCTAGCACAAGCAAGAACAGCTCCATTTCTGCCTCCCCTATTTCTGAGCACCCCTCTGTCGTGCCCCAACGGGGCTGCCTCAAGACACCAAGCAGACGTTCAGCAGTAGAAGCCAGTCAACCCAGGTCTGTGCCGAGAGGCAAGCAGCCAGCATGACTCAAGTTTCCTGGGATACAGATGCTTTTCCAAATCCACATTTCTTTCTGGAGAAAACCTTTCCAGCCATGTAAGGTACAAACAAAACTGACGAGACTCTGCAGAATTTCACTGCAATCCCTGTCTCTGAGTGACTCAGACAAACTTACAGCCCAAAACACAAGAGTCTCCATAGGCAAGACAAAGGCCTCTAGAAAGGGAAAACCTTTTTTTAGAGCAACTGATACAGGTTACAAAAACAGACTAGCTTTTGGGATTACAGACCCATCTTCACATAGCCAAAAGAAGGGCTGGACACTCAAAGCATCTGCTTTTTCCAAGTGAATATTTAATCTCATTAAAGATAGTCCCCCTTCCTGGACTGCTCACCTTCCTTATACCCTAACACTTACATCTCCAGCACTGTGGCTACTACCTACTTTCTAGCGCCTTTTATGCTGTACTTGAGGTTTCCGTGGAGATATCCTCCTCCATCCTGTTTCCCAAAGAATGAACGAACCTTACAGAGAGGTTAGTGACTTCAGACCAGCTGCTGAAGACTGAACACCTCACTGACACAGGAGTGGAGGAAGAAGGCTGGAGCCAGAACCCCAGGCAGGAGCTAGTCAGGACCATGTGAGAAGCAGCAAGGCATGCCAGAGCCTGCCCTGGAGGGAGCTGGGACTGCTCCCCACACCTTGGGCAGCCCCTGTGCCCCTCTTGCCCCCGCAGCAGGCTCAGAGCCACCGCAGGTGCGTGCCTTGCTGCCTCCGGCTGCAGCCCACCCTGCCACAGCCAAGGTCTCCACTGTCACGCTCCAGCCCAGTGCCTGCCACGCACGTTCGGGCTCTCACAGGTAAGGGAGTTCTCCCAGCATCCTGTGAAGCCTCTCACATCTGAGTGATCCTTGGCACCCAAGCAACCAAACAAGCTTGTTCTGGCTCTCGGGCTTATAGGACTCTCTCTGACTGCATGGGGTCCGTGCCCCCCTGAATGAGGAGTTCATTCACCAGGCGTGCACAGCAGGAACAGCCCACACTGTTACCTGCACACAGCTGGAGGCAGAGCCGGGCTTACTGTTCATTTTGCTTGAACCAATTCATTGTCCAGCCCCATTGTCTTCTGTTCCCATAGGAAAGTCAACGCCTTCCACTGTCTGACAGAGCCCGGGTTGTGCACCAAGCAGAGCTATTTCTATGCTTTGCCTTGAATAACCATTGCCTCTGGGGTTGTCTTTTCACAGCTATCTGGGGCAGAGCAACTTGTCCCAAAGTGTTCTGCAAACCAGACATGACAAATACTTCAGCAAAGACTGATACTGCACATGGCCCTGGGACAGAAAAATCACTGCATGTAACGCCAGCCAGCTGGGAGCCAAATGTGCAGAGCAGTGTACGTATACTAGCCTGTATGCTGGGGTTTAGAACAGATGATGATTTGACCAAGCCACCAAAGAAGACCTTGCAAAAAAACCTCAAATACCTCAAAAACTCCCAAACTTCTGTAGGGAAAAAAAAATTCCAGTTAAGATTAATGGGAACTAGAAGCCAAAGCCATTGTAATGGCTTTATAACAAGTCTGTATAATTTATACCTTTATGAAACGGTAGCACATTTCTTCTAAGGCCAGTTGCTAAAGCTGCAAGTGTGCCGTCACATCAGGGAGCACTGAAACCTCATGAACCAAAGCACTGGTGCAAACTGAAAGGCACATGGATGAAGAACAAGCACAGCCTGTAGGATGCCGTCACCCCTGCAACCAGCAAATGTGCCAGGTGCCAGCAAGAAAATGATCCATCTGGCAAAGTCACACATCATAAATCCCACAGGAAAGGATTCTGGAGCGAGCCTTCCCACACTAAGGGAGGAGCAGAGAGGGAGAAATAAAAACAGAGCCCAGAAACCTCCCCTTAGAAAACACCTCAGGTAAAAAGGTACCCTTTCCACCAGAAAAGGTGGATGGGAAGATGCAGTGCTGTGCGATGTTGTGATACCAGAGTGGATTACAGTGCTGACCAGCTAGAGATTGCATGGGATTTTCATTCCATATAAAAATTTTGTTCCTTTTAAACAAATAAAAAAGAGATTGACATGAATGAGGCTTGGGATGTACATGTTGTGCACTTCTAGAAACAGAGCTATGCCTGTCAGAAAACGATGTGGTTGATCAGCTCTCCTAGAAGCATCATATTAAAGTCGTTATCTTTTAAATCCTGTTTTCTGCAAGCACCATGCCTCTTCTCCCAAAGAAGTACAAAGCATTTTAAAACTGAATCACAGAATCATTATTACTGTGGTCCATTTGTTAGCAGCAGAGATGTAGCAAAGGCTACAAAAAGAGGCAGTCAGCCCAGTTGCCTGTTGAGAATAGAGTGTCATGAAATACAAACCTTTATAAGAATATACTGGTCAAAGGAAAGCCCTGACTTGTCTCTGACAGTGGCCGATAGGCAATGCTTAAGGAAGAAGATCAGCTAGAGCATGCAATGATAATTTTCTTCTGGCCATCTAGGATGGGCAGTTCAGAGACAAGCTGCGTCAGCCACACTGTCTTTACATTTAATAGCCTTTGATGGATTTCTCTTCCACAAACATGTCTAGCGGCTGTTTGAACAAACCTCATCTTGCAGCATCCACAAGATTTGTGACAAGAGCTCCAGTGTTAGGTACACATTGTGCAAAGACACATCTCCATTTACTTCTTTTAAACCTGCCTCTTCCTGACTCTTGTATTGGAAAAACTAGTGATCAACCCTGCTCATTTTCCCTGTGCCACCTGTAGCTTTACAGCCACAGCCGGGACCTCCTTCCCTGGTTGGAAAACAATGACCACCTCAGTAGCCTCTTATGCAGAGGTTGACCTGGCTGCAGTCCTTCTTTCTGCCATCTCTGGTTCTGTTTTTCCCGTTGGAGATGGTGAGACCATCCTGCATAGAAGATATTTATGTAACCACGGTTTGTTCTCTATTCCATTCACAGTAATGCCTAACGTTCACTTTGAGTTTTGATGTACTGAACACAGACATTTATCTATTATAACCCTGTAATCCCACTCCTGCATGGTAAAACGGAGTCTGGAGCCTTCCCAAGGAACCTGATTACTCTGGGATGTTGCTGCAGCTGGGACTTCATGAGGGCAGTAGCTGCAACTAGTTTGGGAGCAAGGATGGAGAGACCTGCCAATTCAGACAGAGAGAAGTGAAATGTCTCACTTAGAAAATGTTAATTGTGCCTGGGTTGAAATGTGTCCCCTTTCCACACCACGTGGCTGCAGATCACAGAGAATCACCTTGAAGCATGAGGCCAAGGGGGATTTCAGTGGTTTTCCACCACACTAGCAGGATTATTTCCAGATTCACGAGTGACTCCATCCAGTTACTTCATGTTTAGCTGTATTCCCCCATCAGCCTGGGCCACTGGAAACACCATGACAAATATCTCCCTGGGGTCCTGAGTCATCTGCAGTTCGATGACCAATGCTAGTAAAGTGAGCCTTGGGTACCGTTTATTTGCAGTCATGCATTTTCATTCACCTCTGCTCCAAATGCCACTCAGGTGTGCCTGGTGATCCAGAAACAACTTCCCAAGCTGTTTTACCTTAACTGCTATATGGTACCGGGCAGATTTTACTCCCTATTGGCTGGTGTGGTAGAATAAATCCTTCATTCAGCCTCCAACACAACTCCGTCTATCCCAAATGACTTGGAATGCTGTAAAAACACAGAGATAAATGGAGATCTGAACAAGCAAGTGAGCAGTTTTGGGTGCTAGATGCATTCTGGGTGGAAAGGGACTAGTGTGAAGGCAGTGGGAGTCGATGAGGGGGTTTGTGCAGTAAAATCAGTCACGTAACCAAGTGCCTCCCCAAGCACTTCCACAAATTAAGAGGAAGAAACAGGGAGTGTGCATGGGCAAGCTACAGAAAAGAAATGGTAAAATTAGACCAGTAGAAATAAGCATGGTGCCCCTGAGACAGGGGCCTCTGCAAACTCACAGGCAAGCTGGTCACAAAGCTCCTCCAAGGTGGAAGAAGACCTTGGACCAGCTTGCCCACCAGCAAGCCAGATCGCCAGCTAGTCTCAGTGTCAGGCTGAGAACGAAGTAGAAGGGACTAAGGAGGTGAGGACGGAGAAAAGAGGGCTGCCTTTTGATGGATGTGGTTGCAAACAATCTGAAGCCGCATTTTATTGTTGCTGTCCCAGTCAGTGAGGACAGTGCAGCAAAAGCACGAGAGATACAGAGCACTGTGGTCATTCAGAGCATCTATTTTCCACTGCATACCTAGGCTACTTGGCACTAGCATCAACGGCAGAGCAACAGAGATGAGAGCCACTGACATTGACA